TTTCCCATTTGTAAAATGTAGGTGATAAGAGTGTGTACCACATGGGGTTGCTGTGGGATTAAAATATCAAGTGCTTAGAACAGTTCCTACCATATCTTATTATTTCAAAATAAGTGAAGTGGCAAAATTTAAATTCCAAAATAGTGGGCATAGTTTTAGACAAAAGAGCAGAATGTAGCCAGCACCTGATTACCTTTTGTAAAGAAAGGTCGAACAGCTTTCCAGAGGGTTGGATTGTTGTTAAATATGATGCCATTTTCATGCATGCCGATGCACTGCAACCCAAGTTTGCTGCCAAATCGGGAGCTGTAGTGACTGTGTTTCATTACATGGAACATACTTGAGGACCTGCAGAGACAGCAAACCTTAGTGTGAATTTGTAAGGGTTAAGAGAACTCATCGTGATGATTTTGATACCAGGTGACTCTCTTAGCAAATGCATGTTGATCTAAATGCAGTGCATTCTAGAATTCGTATTGAATAAACACTTCTGTTAGTGGAAGAACATCCCTCTCCAGTCGAAATACTTCTACCTCCTGACACCCTGCTTGAGCACCACGAAAGATAGAACACACACACACATACACACACACACACACACCATTCTTTATTTCCCTCTTTTCTAATTCCAAGTCATTAAAATACTACCCACAACTGGGATCAGAGCTGCAAGGCTTTGAGAAGCCAAGCCCTCCACTCCACCAGAGGGTCCCGAGAGCCTCCAGCCCCACTCCAGACAGCACCACCCTCTACAGGAGTGAGTCTCGGAATCCAGAGTTCCTGGAATTGCTGATGTCATCTTCATTTGGAACCAGTAGTCTGGCCTTGTACCATCTATCCCCAGAGTCTCTAATCAGGCCTGGACCCCCCGGTGGGTATCATTCTGGGCTTGAAGGACACCTCCTGGTCACTCCAGGCTCTGGGCTTAGCTGGCTGGGCTGGGCCTTGACAGCTGTCTGTGGTGGTGACAGCAGCTATCCTGGGGCTCTGCATTCCATCCTGACTCATCAAGGTCTCCAGGGTCACAGAGTTCTCTCAGGATATAGGACATGGTGAGCCATTAGATAGCCCTTGAGGTAGCAGCACTGGGACCTTGCCAACAGGCTTCCCTGAACTTCTCAGCTCCTCCTCACTGTTTTGCCTCCATTCTGCACCACCGCCCCGCCCCCCAACCCTCAGTTTTTTTTTCAGAATCAAACTATCTTTCTTTTTCTTCTTTTTTTTAAATAGGAAATTTATTGTCAAATTGGTTTCCATACAACACCCAGTGCTCATCCCAAAAGGTGCCCTCAATACCCATAACCCACTTTCTCCTCCCTCCCACCCCCCATCAACCCTCAGTTTATTCTCAGTTTTTAAGAGTCTCTTATGGTTTGGCTCCCTCCCTCTCTGTTTTTTTTTTCTTCACCTCCCCCATGGTCTTCTGTTAAGTTTCTCAGGATCCACATAAGAGTGAAAACATATGGTATCTGTCTTTCTCTGTATGACTTATTTCACTTAGCATCACACTCTCCAGTTCCATCCACGTTGCTACTAAAGGCCATATTTCATTCTTTCTCATTGCCAAGTAGTATTCTATTGTGTATATAAACCACAATTTCTTTATCCATTCATCAGTTGATGGACATTTAGGCTCTTTCCACAATTTGGCTATTGTTGAAAGTGCTGCTATGAACATTGGGATACAAGTGCCCCTATGCATCAGTACTCCTGTATCCCTTGGGTAAATTGCTAGCAGTGCTATTGCTGGGTCATAGGGTAGATCTATTTTTAATTTTTTGAGGAACCTCCACACTGTTTTCCAGACCTGTGCTCAGTTTTAAGTCCTGGGAGGAACTAGGAAGGAGAAAGCAGTTCCTTCTTCCTCTCCCCTCCCCACCATTTCTTCTTCTAGGAGCTGCTCCCTTCCCCCCACATCCCAGGGGTCAATTTGGGCATGATGAAGCACTTAGAGTTATGAAATGTTATAAAATTCTAGCTGAAGAAGTTCTAGAAGCCTGCACACATGAGGAGAACATTATCTTCTTAGGATAGCAGTACAGAATTCTTCTGCAGGGAGAGACCAACTCACCTTGTTGAGATGTTTTGTTAAGACTGCTTAGAAGTTATCCTGTGGCATTGGAAGGATAAATGGATAATTTAAGTCATTTAATAATCAACAGGATAAAGGATAAGAGGATAATTGTGCTCTTCAGTATAAATGGTAGGTGGGTTTACTGCAGGGTATACTTGCAGCTAGCAGCATGGGGAGGGAGAGGGAAGAGAGCTGAGATGAATGCTACAGAGTGCAGATTTGGGGAGGAGAGGACTCCTGGCTCAGTGCTCAGAAAAAGAAGTCTGCTGGGAATTTATGAAGTTGAGAATTGTGGGGTGGATGGAATAAATTCATTTTTGATCTGCCAAGAGAGAAATTAAGAAACACTACAGGTGACTGCACTTCCTATGGCAAGGGGCTTTGGCTGGAAAAGAGGTTCATGCAGGGCCCAGAGGGAAACAGGCTACCTGGACAAAGGCTAAGTGACAGCTGAGGCCACGGACCACATGGGTCAGAAACTGGAACTCCAACATGGCACGTGCTCATAAACTAGGTAGCTACCCTTCATATGCTGAGCAAAAGGGCATTACATGAAGACAGGCAGGATAGTGTTTGTTGGAGAATAGAGAAGATAATAAGCAGGATATGTGGTGCTTGTATGTCTATTATTTTCATAAATGCCAATATCACATTGTAGGCATAGACCAGACACAAATACCACTCACTTGGAAAAATCAAATGAGATTATCTGAAGGATATGGAAGAAAGTCTGTACAGTGAGGATAAGAGGCAGACAAAACAGTGCAGGAGGTGGGAGTGCAGGCAGCTAGACCCCGAAATTCTCACTGACGGGGTACATGGTTCTGGTTGAGTGAGGAAAGAGAGGTCATATGTCAGCCACCTCCGTCCAAGGCCCAGCCTTTCCATACATAAGGCTGGAGCATGCCGCCTCTGAGGCCTGGGGCCCTCAGACATCCCTGCGCTGCTGAGTGGACAATAAGAACACAGAGTACACAGAGGACCACAGAGGCTGTGCTTAGCCCCAAAGTCTCATTTATTGTCCTCTTCCTCCCTACGCTAACAAAGCATGTTCCAAGTACATACATTACCCAGACTCCTCTGAGGGGGCATGATAACAGGCTCTTCAGATTACAAGGGCACGGTATTTATATATGGATGACACGGCCAAATGCAAATTCCCCTTAGTAAATTGTCAGCATAAGCAGATTTACTTCTCTCCATATATATTTTCAGCAACTTCAAAAATTTTCCACTGAAGTATACTCAAATTGATAGCCATTTTTCTTGGAGATAGGGAGAAAAGGGGAGCAGGGTTTGGGAATTAAAAAGAGGGGCCAACTGGTTAGCAGAGAAGGAGTAGAGGTTTTCTGTGGTGCAACTATGGGAGGCAATGAAGAAAGCTGAGGCAGGGTACACTGTCATTAGTCTGACTTTTGGCCATGTTTACTATACTGGAGCCAGGCCATGTATCCATGTAGCCTACCTGTGTATGCTCTGCTGGGGATCACGGGCAGAGCTCAAGTGACATAATCCTTGACTTTGGGTCTTGGGAACTAAACTGCCCAGGTCTGTTGGTAAGTTGAAATAGACCCCCCATAGTTTTTTTCACCTAAGGATTCTAAGCTACCCCATGTCTCTGAGACCAGAGAGGAGTTCAGAGGCAGAGATCATAAAATTAGGACTAAACATTTGAGCAGAGGAATCGGAAGAGAATATTATTGCAAGAAAGCAAAATATATTTATAAACATCTGTCTGATACTGCCAAGGGGGGAGAACCTGGGCATTTTCTGGTGTGGGAGAGAGAGAAAGAGAGAAGAGAAAGTAGCAGCATAGTGCCCAATTGTGCAAATTCAAGATACGTAAAATATCATCAGTGTTTTAGACGCCATTATTATTCTTGGTGAACTTAATATTTATACAAGTTTTCATGTGTTCATTGCAACTTTGGTTCTTCCTCCCCACTTCTCCACTGAAATTTTGTTTCTCAGCTGCAAATTCTCCTCCTCTGCAGTGTTTCTGAGCACATAACCCTCAAAGATGGGGAGTGGTGATTATAGTATGTGCACTGGGCTGCAGTGACCATCTTACCACTTGCTTCTCCTTCTTAAAGTTGATACTTGGCTCCTAGAAGGATGAGTGTGCCTTAATTAGGTTGTTCAATTAATGCCTGTGAAAACACATTCCCAAGAAGACATTGGGCCAAAGGCACTGTGCTCTGGCTGAGTAGTGGGCTAAGTATTAGCCAAACCCTCACATTTGTGATGGTTCCATAGTCCTATTTAAATTTTAAAAGAAAGGCCCTGAAATGATGGCATTGTCAGGAAATGAAAACATAAGTATTATATGAATAAATTGTCTACTAGATTATTTCTTTCAAGGAAAAACATCTTATTTTCAAACCAAAACACTCTCTATTAAGTCAAATATTCTCTTGATTTAATTCCAGATATTATTCATCAAGTGATCCCACGTTTTGGACAAGTATTTCTCTTCCTAGCAACAAAAATAAAAACAAAAATACAGATGCTTCTCTTTGTATTCCAGGGAATTAATTTGACTGACAAACAGCTAAAATTTTTTCCTGTATAGAGAAGTCATGCTTTGAGAGGGCTGAAAAGATTATTAATAGGTTTTAGGACTTTAGCTTCTCTCACCTTCCCCTACCTTATTCTGTAAGTACAGCAGAAAGTAAGTAATTTGTATATTCTTTATTCACAAATTTGTATCTAAGAACTTTAAGCCTAGAGGTAAAGCAGAGCGCTATTCTTTCCGCTCTGACCCCTAGAGCTTTTATATACTGCTTTAACCACATTAGCATGGCCACTTACTTTGAGAAATTAGTAATCGATTTTTAAAAAAGAAACAAGAAACCCCAAACTTAAACCCAACTAAATGTGCATTACTTAATAAAGAGCTAAGTTTAAAAATAAATGTGTTCTTTAGGGGGCGCCAACATCTCAGTTATTTCGAGTCAGAGGCTCTGACTTGGCAAGGGACAAAGCTGTCAAGACAGAAGTGATACACAGTGAGAGTGAAGAGTGACCGGCTGCCGGTGAGCAATTTAAAACAAACTTTTTTCAAAAGTAGGTTGGCTTTATATAACCAGAGTAAATTGGGAAAGTGAAGAAATAAAGTTTGGTGAAGAACTAGGGACTCCAGCCCAGAGCACACAGGGTGGTCATGAAAATAGCAGAGACCATGCTCCAGCCTTGTGGGCCAGCCTATAACACCAGTTGAAGGAGATGTTATATTGACTGGGGGAGTAAAGATTTCCTACCACTGAAGAGAGACCAGGTGAGTCCCCAAGCTCAGAAGGGACACTACCCTCAGAAGGGTAGTGTAAATTGCATGGTAACTGGGGTCATTATTTCTTTTTTAATTTTTTTTAACGTTTATTTATTTTTGAGAGACAGAGAGACAGAGCATGAGCAGGGGAGGGGCAGAGAGAGGGAGACACAGAATCTGAAGCAGGCTCCAGGCTCCGAGCTGTCAGCATAGAGTCTGATCCAGGGCTTGAACTCACGTATTGCAAGATCATGACCTGAGCCAAAGTCGGTCGCTTAACTGACTGAGCCACCAAGGCGCCCCTGGAGTCATTATTTATTTCCTTCCTTCCTTCCTTCCTTCCTTCCTTCCTTCCTTCCTTCCTTGAGTATAGTTGACACACAGTGTTACATTAGTTTTTAGGTGTACAACACAGTGATTCAACACATTTATACATTATGCTGTGCTTACCACAGTGTAGCTACCATCTGTCACCATACAATGCTATTACAATACCAGTACTGTACTCCCTATACTGTACCTTTCATCCTTGTGATTTATTCGTTCCATAATTGGAAGCCTGTTTCTCCTATTCCCCTTCATTGTTCTTCTTTAAACATGACTGAAGTCAAAAGACAGCACCAAAGATGGCAAACCTATTGTCTATTCAAAATGAAAAGTAGCCAGGAAATAAGTTATTAGGTAGTGAAGAGGAAGCCACTTTTCAGTTCTGAATTTAAAGGACTCACATAGGGGATCCTGGATGGATCAGTCGGTGGAACATGCGACTCTTGATCTCAGGGTTGTGAGTTCAAGACCCATGTTGGGTGTAGAGATTACTTAAAAATACAACCTTCAAAAAAAAAAAAAAAGGACTCACACATCTGTGGCCAGGTTCAAGAGTGATGAGTACTATAAATAAATATGGAGGAGAAAATTAATGGAATAATTGGTACCAAACATTTAAAAACACTTGCCCATATAGACCTGTTTTGTGCCTGAGACTTAGTCTCTGTTGATCCCATTACCTTCCCCTTGTCCTTTGCCCCTCTAGTATCCTCACATACCCAGCTAAATACTGGAGTCACTGCAAGAGGAAAACAATCTTTATAATAGAGAGATCTGACTGTAACTACCCTATCCAAGTGATCACATTTAGCATCCCTAATAGTGGGACAACTTTTCCTTGTCTCCTGATGTGATGCAATATGAAGTGCCTAGCCCTACCAAGGAAGTATTATTACAAAAATGTTTAACCTGAATGAAACTGAGACATAATTTTCAGTTTAGGGTGTCTGGGTGGCTCACTTGGTTGAGGGTCCAACTTTTGATTTCGGCTCATATCATGATCCCAGGGTTGTGAGATTGAGTACTGTGTAAGGCTCCACGCTGGGTGTGGAGCTTTCTTGGGTCTCTCTCTCTCTCTCTCTCTTCTCTTTCCACCTCCCTCTCCTGCTCGCACTCTATCTCTCTAAAAAAAATTCATAATTTTCAGTTTATAAGAAACACATGGAGTAGAGGACTATGTTAAGTGACATCATAATGTAAAGAGAGAAATTCAGAAATGTGAAACACATTCTATAAGACAGTTGGCCTGGTCTCTTCAAGAGGTCAATGTCATGGGGGCAAGGAATGGGAAGACTGTTCTTTCAACTTCCCTATTCATTTAAACATTTTCTTAATAGAAAGTTGGAAAAAACATTCTGTTGTCAATCATTAAAATCACTCTCTTCCATGCATCCTCAACTCCCTTGACCCTCTCCTTACTTTGTCATAGTTGCCTGGTAAAAATCTTTTACCCCTGGTAAAACCTTACCCCTGGCTAAATCCAACTCTTAGCTTACTCTGTGCTTGTTCCTGGGAGCTGAATGTGGCTGGGAAAAAAAAAAACACACATGCACACGTACACACACACACACACACACACACACACACACACACACACACTGACAAATCCCAGTTAAATTCAAGTGGGCCCTTAGCGCAGCTGGCAATTCTACTACATTTCCCCAGTCCTTTCACACTTACTGTTCTAGATGACTATTAAATCCTGCCTCCTCTCTCCTCAAACATTCTACTTCCCCAGTCTTAGGTAGGTAGGTATGTATGTATGTATGTATGTATGTATGTATGTATGTATGTATGTATTTATTTATTTATTCACTGAGGAAAAAGAAGAATCTCTGCAAGCTCCAACTACTAGGATCTGTCTCATATATTCAAACTTCTCAAACTTACTGTAGATGAACTTTCATGTCCCTATTCAACGCCAACTCCACCTGTCACCTGTACCCCCTTTCACATTTCACCTAGCACACCCCTTTCTCTTCCATCAACAATTTTGCTTTATAATCCATCATTGCCATCATAACACACATGTTGTGATTTCTCCTCTCTTAACAAAAACTCCTTGGACTATATATCTCTTTATATTTCTTTGTTCCATTTCTCTGCTGCCTTTATGACAAACTCCTTGGAAGAGTTGTCTTCCTCCTGTAGCCTCTAATTCTCTCTCCTCATTCTATACTACAGTGAGACTTTTGTCCTCACCACTCCATTGAAATTGCCAAGGTCACCCATGTTGCTAAATGTTCCTCAAATCTTCTTCATTAACCTAGCGCTATCTGGCATGTTTGACAATTCCATCCTCCCTGATATACCCTCATCACGTGGCTTTCAGACCACCATACTCTCCTGGTTTTCCCTTCTCTGGCTGTCCTTCTCAGCCTCCTTTTCTAGTTTCTAACTGTGGTGGAGGGTCAAAAGACTCAGACCTTCCTTCACAACACCCTACTCAGCTGTACACTACACATATCAAGTCAAAATATCCCAAATGGAATCCCAATTTCTCCCCATCCCAAACTTGCTCCACCTACCTGAGGTAATGATACCCTCATTCTTCTAGGTATTCAAGACACAACACTATGCTACCACCTTAATTCTCACACCCAACATCAATCTCTTAGCCCCTTATTGACTTTGCCTTCAAAATATACCTAGAATTTTACTTCTTACCACCTCTACTGCTCTCACACGGACCAGACACCATCATCTTGTCTAACTGCCCTCTGTATATTCATCCTTGTTCCTTTAACACCTAGTCTCAAAGAATGTGGGTAGAATGTGGGTAAAGAAGTCAGGAGTCTGCTGAAACATGATTGAGTTAGATGTGTCACTTTTCTGCTCAAACTCTTCAAAGGCTTCCCATCTCATTGCAGGGTAAAATTCAGAGTTGTTACAATGGCCAGCAAGGCCCAATATTATTGACTGTCCTGATACCTTTCTAGTGTCATCTCCCCTATTCTTCCACTAGCCACACTGGTGTCCTTGTTGTTACTTGAACATTTCAGCCAGGCTTCCACCGCAGGGGTTTGCATTTGCTGTTCCTTCTGTCTGGAATGGTTTTCCTCTACATCTCTGCATGACTCCTTCCCTCACTTCCTTTAAGTCTTTACTCAAATGCTGTCTTCTGAATTAGGCATAATTCAGGCCTAATTAGGCCTGCATTAGACCTATCTGAATTAGGTCTTCTGAATTAGACCACCTATTTATAATTGCACTTCCATCCCTGCAACTGGCTGTCCCCTAATTTATTTTCCTATATAGCACATATCTACCTGAAGATAGTGTGAGCAACTATCTTGGTTTGCTTGGGACTGTCCCAGTTTTAACATTCAAAGTCCCCCATCCCAGAAAACCCCCTAGTTCCAGGCATACCAAGACAGTTGGTCACCCTACTGATACACTCATCTATTGTTGGTATATTAACAATACAACAATATATTTCTCTATGATGGTAGGAATTTTTGGCTGATTTGCTCATGATACCCAGTGTACATAGTTAAGTTCTCAATAAATATTTAATGATTGAATGGGGGGCAATAATAATTATAAGTTAGGATCATCCAGTGCTTAGTATATAGTAAATTCTCAATAAATGCATGTTAAAAGAATAAATTAATGAATTTCCTATAAATTTACATATGATTAAAACAGATACACAAATACAACCCTAATTAGTATGTTAATTACTATATGACCATAATTAGCATGTTAATTGCTAACCCCCTTTATTAATGCCACCCACATTCTTTTTTTTTTTTGTATTCATTACAAAAACTGATACATACACACAACATATAGTATCATGGGCAACATCTGTAGACCCTCATTAATTTAGAGCTTACCAGCCTGGGGAATTGTGAGTGCTTTTTCTACGGATGCCCAGATGAACCTTCCCTCAGAGTTCAGAGTTGCTCAGGCAACATCCTGGAAGCACTCAGGCCTGACTCCCCCACCCCCCACCTGATCCCCACCCCCCACCCCCGCCGTGAAATTCTGCAGCCCCCACCACTTCAAGACTATGCTGGTAGGAAAAGTTGGGCCATAATCTCTAGTCAGCTGTAATGACTAGAGATCTCAAACTTTTCAAAAGAAAAAAACCTGGCAAACTATTCAAATAAAAATAAAAATCTTTCTGAGGTCCAATTGGGGTATTTTCAAGAGGCACGGGTAGTTCTGGAAGGGACCTGAAGAGCAGGCGAGGGAAGGAGATGGGGACAAACATGTCCTATTCCTGCAGGGAGCTCAGCCCTTAACAACAAAATTGAGCGCTCGAGGCAATTAAGGAGAACACAAAGACTCCAACCAGTGAAAAGCAGGTTAGGACAGGACAAGAAGAGAAGTGGGAGAGCTGGGGGAGGGGCGGGATGGGTTGTGTGTGCATCTTGAGCATGAATCAGCACCTGAGTTGGTCAGGGTTGCTAAAGTCACTTTCCTCATGAAGACAGCAGAGTGGTCAGATGCCACCCTGCACTGTAACAAGGATCCTACTTCAGAAATGGCTTTGGGCTTCCAGGACTGTATCTGGTGAGCCAAGTATGTAGTATCTAAGAGCCATTTCTGTTTTGGTCCTCTGGACCCTTGCCACATTCTTCACTCAGGTTCTTATCTGACACTAGCTTAGCACCTGAGCTAGACTAAAGAGTAAGATGTTAAGACGAAAGCATTCCAGCCCTGCTTATTGGCTCCCTTACCCCCAAGGAGAGACCCCTTTGTGCTGGAGGCAGCTTACCTGCTCTCCCGTCT